TGTGGATAAATTCTTCAATATGTCCTTTGTCGTCCTTGTTGTTTGAAGATTTGTTGATGGGGCAGATTTCTGAAGCTGGTGGAAAATACGCGAGACATTTCCACAGATATTTTGCCAAAGAAAAGCATTAACATAAGTGACGTTTACCCTACATCGAGACACTTCTGGCTGTTGTGAAAAAGGTCTATTGTTTTGTGACTTGGACTCGAGTCAGACTTGAGTCACTATTTTTAGGACTTGAGACTTGACTTGATCAAATGCACTAAGACTTGGGACTCGACTTGGACTTGAAGGTCTGTGACTTGAGAAGACTTGATGCTTCTCCTAAAAAATACATGTTTTTAGAAACTATTTTTCTCTTTACAGTTGATAAATGTGGTGCTGAATTTTACTAGAACAAACTGGAACATGTTCCTCCCACTTCTCTGTTACTTTGGATGTAACTGAAGTTCTGTGATGTGGTATCCTCAAATGTACTACAGTAATATACCGAACAATACAGTAAAACAGAGGGAACTACAAAGAACATGATCCTTACTTTTCAGTGCAGCCTCCAAGTCAAAACAACTCTTATTAAGCACTTTTAAATCTGAATTCTTTCTATTCTGACAGTAATGATTCACACTCTTGTCAAGACATTTAAAAAGGAAAACATAGCATTTCTACAACTTTTATATAAATACTCATGTATAAATATACCATGGATTTTTAAGTACAATTTAGTTTAAGTCATATCAATTGCAAACATCTAAGATATATTTGGTACTTTTCTGGTTCAAAGACTTGAACTGACTTGAAGCTCAAAACAGTCGACTTGGACTTGACTTGGACTTTTGGGCCAGTGACTCGAGACTCGACCAGGTCTTTGACTTTGGACTTGACTCGGACTTGAGGCCAAAGACTTGAGACTTACTTGAGACTTGCAAAACAACGACTTGGTCCCATCTCTGCGAATTGATTTGAAATTTCTTGTATCGAATCGAACGCTCACTGTATTGAGATATTTATCGTTTTGTGGCCTGTATCGAGGTATGTATCGTATCGGCAACTTCTTAATGATTCCCAGCCCTATCCATGGAGATGTTTGTATCCATGGAGATGTTTGTATCCATGGAGATGTTTGTATCCATGGAGATGTTATTGCTTTGCCTGGAATGTTCCATGGTATGACATTAAACACATCTATCTCATTTATTCATTACGAGTGTTTCTGTTGCTCAAAAATACAATCATTCTCTTGGTGAATAAGGTTGCCTCTCCACAGATCTGACCTGTAGTTGTTGCTCTCAGGATAGGTTTAATCTCCACTGTGGAACATTCTAGACAAAGCCATACTATCTCCATGGTAGGTGACACCAGAAAACCAGAAAAGTTGCACAATTACAGCTTTAATGTAACTGAAACCAAATATTAAAAATGTACAAAACCTGTCAACATAAAACTTTTATTATAGACTAGGGTTATACTGTAAAATATAAAATTATTCAAGTATTATTTATTCAAGAAGGTGTAAAAGAAATGTGTCTGAAAACTACTCCAAATAAAGTCAGTGAGGGGGTATGGAGTTTAATAATATAATGGAGCACTTCCTGTATTAAAACATGACATCACAACGTAGAACGAGCGTTTTCCGTTTGAGTGAAGAGGCTAAATATTCAGGCTTTGGCAGAAAGAAAGTTGACTAATAAAACAAGTCACCGGATTCATGAAAATGTCAGAAAACTGTTGAACCAAACAAAATGAGTTCCATGATATGACAAGGATTAAAATAAGAATAATTACTCAGTTAGCCTTGTACTTGTTCCTGTCCTGCCTGTAAACCAAGGTTTGTTTTCCATTTTTGTTTTCCCAAGGTTCCCATCAAAAGTAGTTCAAACTCGCTGTAAAAACTGATATCTTTTCAATGTCTCAATTACATTTACCTGGACTTTGCACGCCAAATCAAAACAACAAATGAACAAAGTATTCCCTTGACTCATAACTGGGTTTGCAGGAAGGAAGTTTGGTCAAGAAGTGACTGAGTTTATGAGAAAATACACCAAAATGCTATTAAAATCAACATGGTGACACATTATGCAAATTATACGCATTATGCAAAATCAACTTTTAAGAGGTTTTAACCATGTTATAGTTGTTTCCTCTTCTCATTTACCCGGAGTTGTATTTGGAGTGATTCATGCAAGTTTATAGTTTTTTTAGTACTGTAATTTCCAGACTATTTCTCACTGAACCCTGCGGCTTAAACAACAATGCGGCAAATATATGGACAGATTCTTTGTTTGGCACATTTGTCCATTCATATAAACCAGGGGTGCTCACACTTTTTCAGCATGCGAGCTCCTTACAAAATGATCAAGTCATAAAGATCTACCTAATACAAAGCCAAACAAACTGCACTGAAACACTCTGTGCCCCTTTTTTGGACCCTCACCCACAGTTTGAGAACCCCTTCTTTAAGAGAACTTCCTCTGGCACTTTACACAAAACTGTGAAAAAAGTGAAGGAAGATTTTTAAACCTGTTTTTTAAAGTTCCAAACTGGAGTTTCATTCTTTTCTGGTTTTGCAGTGATATTTACCAGCCTCTGCACATTTACCAAACCAAACACACATCGTGACAAACACAGATGCATTTGTGCACTTTTGTTAGACAAACTTCAGCCAAATGTGGCAGTAGGTCTGTTCTGTAGATCCGCTCTATGCTGTAGGCCTGCTTTGTGCCAATACTGTAACACAAATTTAGACTCGTTTTTGCTTCATGTTTCGTCTTGTTCTTCTAATCAGCCGCACTGTGGGAGGGGCTTGTTTTCGCTGTACGCAGGAAGGAGCGAGAGCGTGAAAAGGCGAGGGGCGGCGTGCTGACGTGAGGCAGATGGACAGGTAGGATGTTTAGGAAGTTTAACCTGCCCTGTGATGCACGCTGGTACACGAGGGCACACGCTGTTGCAGACAAGCCGTGCATAGTGTGTGTTTGTGATGTGCAGCAGAGTCTCCGCGGGTTTCAAATGAGCGCACAGGCTGCACTGAGACGCCCCACACGCTCCTGCACCCCAGCTACAAGTTTATTGCCAACAGCAGCGGCCGTAATGAAATATGATCACACTTGTTGAGTGTCAGACCTTGAGTGAGAGACGAGACACGGCGATCTACCCACACGACCTTGGCGATCGACTGGTAGATCTCGATCGACGTATTGAGCACCCCTGATATAAATGGTCTGTGGTTTGGCAACACAGTGGATATGCGCAGCCTGAGTGCAGAAAACGCCGCTGTCTGTGCGGTTACACATGGATCTAGGGTTAACATGAAGTTGCAACAGTAGCTGATGTTGTCAGCACTAAAACTGTTTATCGCCAGTTTATGTGATAAAATAAGTTATGATGCTAAATTCATATTAGTGAGTATGATACATCTTACCCGTACGTGTAATGCAGGTGAGTGCGTAAATGACGAGAACAAACGTCTCAAACTTCAGTAGCCGGACATCCACTTATACCTGACCGATACACCTAGCCCCGTCCCCGAGAGAGTCTGAAACCAGTACTAGACGCTGACATGGTACTAGACAGGACAGCGGCTCTTTCTGCAGGAGACATGCGCAGTAGAGCTCGGAGAGAGACACAGAAGGAAGATGCCAGTTTGAATGTGTTTTGAACAATTATGTTTGCGCCTCATACACACACCCTCCTCGTGGAAAATACATGAAGAAATGTGGATGATGCAGTTTTAAGTTAAAGGCAATTGATGTGGCTGTGGAAGAAGGAAAAAGAGCTGCTGCACGTGAACTCGACATCAGTGAGTCAATGGTGAGACTTTGGTGATGGCAACTTCACAAACTGACTCAATGCAAAAAGACAACAAAAGTTTTCAGAGGTGATAAAAGCAGATGACCTGAACTTGAAAATGTTCTTTAATACGTGAACACCTGCTAGCCAGGCTGACGCCACCTAGTCCTTTCAATTTCATTTCTCTCCAGCGACTAGGTCAGGAATTGGAATACAATAAACGGTTCGCAAAAAACCCGGGAAGTGTGAGACCAGCCAATCAGCAAAGAGCCATACATTCTGTGTTGGCAACGATTCCTGAGATCAAGGATTTAAAGCTGGAATGAAGAGAATGTTTGGTGAATTTTATCAAGAGGAAAGACATTATTGCCCTTCTTCCTACAGGAATTGGGAAAAGCTTAATATACCAGTTTGACCAAATAGAAGCGACTGGTTAAATTTAAAAAAGTACCCGCCTACCGTCGAGCAATTCTAACACTACAAGATCAGACTGATGAATCAGGCTAGACACTTGCGCCTTATATTTAGATGCGACCTATATATGTATAAGTTTAAAATTGTAGTTAAAATTTTGTTGATGTGGCTTATATTCAGGCGCGCTCAATAATCCGGAAATTACAGTAATTGTATTCAAGTCGTTTTTGCTCCATCATTGCTCCAACTCCCATATTCACTGCACCAGTACATGCCCACTGCTCTGTACTTACTTCAGTCTCCTATTTTATTTTACCTTCACAGGAAGTATCAATATTTGGCTTTCAAAACTGGACTATATCAGGCCTAAATTAGAACTAAACAAGGTCTAAAATGAGACAAAACCAGATCCTAAATGAGACTAAACCATGAATAAATCATAACCCAAAGGAGCACAAAGGCAGATTTGTCAGTAAATCAAACAAATACACAAACTCCAGAGGGCCCCATTGGAAGTACGTCTACCACAGTTTGAGAAACAGTGGCTTAGTTAATAATAATAGTAACAGTGTCTCATCGCCAAACAGTGCAGACCAGTTTATCCACTGTTGTAACTCTTGAGCGTCGCCTCCTACACGTCCTGCTTATTTAACATGATATTGTCAATTGAGTTGATTTGCTGTGGAGAAGGCGTGCGGCACCAGGTACGATCTTCAATCAGCCGCCTTTGTGAGATAAAAGTGTAGCGCCTCTTGACTCTCCTCTCCTCTCTCCAACTTCTCTTTTCTTGTGTGCGTTTCTAGGTCACGCTGACATGCGGAACAGAGACAGGCCTGCGAACAGCCAAGGAGCCCAGCAAATGCCAGTACATCATGGACCTCCAGACTCCCGTAGCCTGTCAGCCCGTGCTCAAGCAGCGGGGGGTGCACAGCGAACTTTGACCCCGTCCCCATGGTGACAGGCCGGGGTCCCGCGGGTGCCCCCCCCGACATCTGTGTTGTCAGAACATATATACTTCCAACAAGTGGAACTGAGGCCATCCACAGACAATAGCACTTCACTTGTCATTGATTGTACAGAGCTGCTAGCCTGGCCACTCACTCTAATACACACATTATGCAAACATGTACTACAGTATACAGTGTACTACATTATTTTTACAGTTAGGGGGATGGGCGAAAACATATCAGACTACTGAATGGATCTGAGTACGTGGTAAAAGAGTTCAGTCATATTTAAGGACTGCAGACTGCCATCTAGGGATTCACCAGCTTTTTCACAACCGATACCAGTCTCGATACTTTTAATACCTGCCAATACCCAATAGTAACCAATACCAGCATGATAAATTTGTATTTTTAACCTCAAAACTTAAACAGTTAACCTATTAGAAATGGAACCAGCAGTGTTATGTAACTATTTATACTCAGTGTTGGGAAGGTGACTTTTAAAATGTAATCCCCTACAGATTACAGATTACATACACCAAAATGTAGTTTGTAACGTAATCCATTAAATTACTTAAAGTGAGCAACATAATCTGAATACTTTGGATTTCTTGATTTGCTGTAAAGAAGCAAGGATGAGGAAATCGTAACATAAGATGTTTTGTCTGCTAAAAGAAAATGAAAAGCCCAGACTTTACTGAACCGTATAAAAAATATTATTAATAGAAGAAGAGGAGGACACACAGTCCGTGCAGCATGGTTTAGTCCTGTTAAATCTTGGTTTAGTCCTGGTTTAGATCTAGTTTAGATCTAATTTAGACCTGGTTTTAATCCTGGTTTAGACCTGGTTTAGTTCTGGTTTAGTCCTGGTTTAGACCTGGTTTTAGACCTGTTTTAGACCGGGTTTTGATCTAGTTTAGATCTAGTTCAGACCTGGTTTTAGTCCTAGTTTAGACCTGGTTTAGTTTCCGGCAATGTGTGGAATTACAGAAGAAAAAAAGAAAAGAAGGGGGGTTATAGCCTAAAATGTAAAAACAGGAAAATATCACCGTGAAATCCATTTATTTCAACAAAGTAACTGTAATCCAATTACCACTCATTGAAACAGTAACTGTAACTGAATACAGTTACTCATAATTTGTACTCTGATTACGTAACTCTGGTACATGTAATCTGTTACTCCCCAACACTGCTTATACTACAAGTAGTTAGTTTGAATTGAAGTCCAAACATGAGGGGACGTTCTAGGTCAAGGGTGGGCAATTATGTTTTCTATGGGGCTACGTGAGAAACAGAAAATATTGTGGAGGGCCGGGCCAAAATGCTTAACTCAATTCTGCATAATATTAATTGTATTTCTTTATAAAACACAGTACCGTATTTTCTGCACCATAGGGCGCGCTCTTAAACCTCCAACCCCATCAAAAAACGACTGCGCGCCCCACAATCCAGAGCGCCTTATACACGAATCCACTCAGGTGTCATAGCACGACTTCAGTAAACTACAAAGCCGCACCACCCGCAGCGCACACAAACACACACGGACACACAGCAGACAGCGACCGCGCAGCGAAAAACACCCACAGCCACACTCATCACGGAGAATTGAACGGAGGAATGAACCGAAAAAGCGAGTGCAATGTGCCACTCTGAGCCACAACTGAACAACTGCGAACACACCAACAATCCAGCGGCCCCAGACAGCACCCTCCTTACACGCCACAACTGAACAAAGCCCGAGTCACCGTGAACATGTCAAACAAAGTCTGACTGACCCATCCAACTGTTGTGTTTCGTTTAATGCACCTTATAGTCGCATTTTATATGTGAAAAAAGTTCGAAAATAGACCATTCAATGACAGTGCGCCTTATAATCCAGAGCGCCTTATAGTGTGGAAAATACGGTAAATAGCATTGTTTTGACAAGCTGGTAAGACTGGTAAGAGTTTATTTTATAACTAAGCAATGAAAAAGTGAGGCTGCCTTATAAAAAAACACTTCTAAAATAAAAGCAATGCAGCTTTTAACAATGCATGAGGTAAAATTATAAAATAAATTTATTTTGTAATTCCAAATAATCTTAAACGGGCCTGTCAGTGGCTCGGGAGCTGTACAGCCAAAACCAGATTGTAAATAGTTATTACATTCATTTAAATGCACAACAAGAATATCTGCTGAAACGATATTACGGAACCGATACCCGATCTAGCTCATATCTGTGGACTGTTTCTAGTATCGGTATTGGTGCATCCCTGCCTCCACTAAGTCGCAATGGTTTAGAAACTTGCGATTGTCTAGATAAGGCTAAACGTTCTTCCCCAAATCCTGAATCTAATCTTTAACTTAATTGTTCATTTCTTGTTTCTGTAGTAATTAGTTTGAGCGTTGTCTGATTTGCCAGGCTACAGTTTTTTGTTTTGTTTTTTCACAAGAAGCCTAATAGTGAAATATATTTTCGATAGAACGTGTCACTGCCCTACATTTGTAAGTGCTTGAGTCATTCCTGTAACAAAGTCAGTTCTGAGACCACTGAACTCCGGGAGCAGCTAAGATCAGTTTTTACCACTACCACTTTGTAAGCAGCAATAACAGAGCTACGGCCTTCCACTTTGCTTGATTACATGTCATCATAGTGGTCACACCAGTAGAAAGAGCACACACCTTTGCACTGTATTAAAAAGCCACAGGTTGTGCTCTCATTTGTGTTCCCTGTCTATAGGAAGAATAAACTCAACTCTATGTCCACTTGTGCGTGTCAGTGAGTGCTTTTTAATGGAGAAAGACTTACGACTATTCACACTGTACATATGCCACAACTTTGATCGTTACTTCTGAGTTTTACCTGGTCTTCATGAGGTCAAATATTGTCTTGTTCTATGTTTCTTTTATTATATGTGTGGAGTACATGATTACAGTTTACTTAGTGGCACATCACAAACAATGTCGGTCATATTTTTCTATAACTAGAATTTCCAAGACTAGAATTGTTCAGATAAAGTGGCTCAGTGGTTTGAACATTCGTCCACCAAGCAAATAGTTGCTGAAACAGGTGGGTTTTAACAGGTGTGTATGCGTATGAGTAGTGGTTACACATGGGTGGGTCACGTGAATCAAATGAACGACGAATGGGACAAAAATACTTGACGCATGTTCAAGACGTCCATTGCCCTGGAAACAAGGGTCATTTCCCGGTCTTTTCCCAGGAACGATGGCAGATCAGGTTGAGACTTTAGTGCATTTATTACATAAAACCCATCAGCAGAGGTGATGGGCTCAGTGGCTGTGCTTCTGGTTTAGTCCTGGTCTAGTCCTGGTTAAGTCCTTGGTTCCAGTCCTGTAGTCCTGTTAGTCCTGTCCAGTCCAGTCCTCCTGTCAGTGTAGTCCTGGTTCAGTCCTGTGTGTAGTCCAGTCCTTGTGTAGTCCTGCTCAGTCCTTGTAGTCCTGTTCAGTCCTGTAGTGTAGTCCTGTGTAGTCCTGCTCCAGTCCTTGTGTAGTCCTGCTCCAGTCCTTGTGTAGTCCTGCTCCAGTCCTTGTGTAGTCCTGCTCCAGTCCTTGTGTAGTCCTGGTTCAGTCCTTGTGTAGTCAGTCCTTGTGTAGTCCTGGTTCAGTCCTTGTGTAGTCCTTGTGAAGTCCTGGTTCAGTCCTTGTGTATGTCAGTCCTGGTAGTCCAGTCCTTGTGTAGTCCTGGTAGTCCAGTCCTTGTGTAGTCCAGTCCTGGTTCAGTCCTTGTGTAGTCAGTCCTGGTAGTCCAGTCCTGTGTGTAGTCCTGGTTTCAGTCCTGTAGTCCTGGTTCAGTCCTTGTGTAGTCCTTGTGTAGTCCAGTCCTTCAGTTGTAGTCCTAGTCCTGGTTCAGTCCTTGTTAGTGTAGTCCTAGTCCAGTCCAGTCCTTGTGTAGTCCTAGTCCAGTCTGGTTCAGTCCTTGTGTAGTCCTGGTTCAGTCCTGTTAGTCCTGTAGTCCTGGTTCCAGTCCTTGTGTAGTCCTGGTTCAGTCCTTGTGTAGTCCTGTTCAGTCCTGGTGTCCAGTCCAGTCCTGTGTGTAGTCCTGGTTCCAGTCCTGTGTGTAGTCCTGGTTCCAGTCCTTGTGTAGTCCTGGTTCCAGTCCTGTGTGTAGTCCTGGTTCAGTCCTTGTGTAGTAGTCCTGTTCAGTCCTGTCCAGTCCTTGTGTAGTCCTGGTTCAGTCCTTGTGTAGTCCTGGTTCAGTCCTTGTGTAGTCCTGGTTCAGTCCTTGTGTAGTCCTGGTTCCAGTCCTTGTGTAGTCCTGGTTCAGTCCTTGTGTAGTCCTGGTTCAGTCCTTGTGTAGTCCTGGTTCAGTCCTTGTGTAGTCCTGGCAATCAACTCTGCAGTTTGTGGTGTGGATATATTTATAATCCACTAATGACAGGTTCTCCTGGTGTAGTCCTGGACTATTGGGCTGTTGGACTAATGGGCTGACCCCGATTTATCACGGTCACGTGTGGGTAAGGGGTAAAACTGTTAACGGGTCTGGGCAGGTGCAGATATAATTTTGATATAATCCCAGGTTAACAGGCGGGTGTGGTGCTGTACTGTGAGGGTGCAGGTCTCCAAAAATGGACTCTTGTGAGTGTGTGTGTGTGTATACATGAGAGTCTTGGTGGTGGTCAGAGGGGCTGTTGGTATAGAACGACAGCCTTGCTTCTGCCAGTCTGCCCCAGGGCTGCTGTGACTACACTACTAAAGTATCTTACCTCCACTGGGTTTGCAGTGAATGAAGAATGACTCCACTGTTGTGCGTTGAAAGGCTTCGACGAGCCTTTAAAACGTGTTCAATCAAATCAAAATAACGATTTATCCGTGAGGAAGTTCAGATGCAGCAGGTAAGCAGGCAAGTAGGAACACAACAGGTTTAAGGCATATTTATTATTCTGGACTCTAATTATCAAGTAAAACAAAGTTAAACACAACATTCTGATATTGTTAGCAGCACCGTTACTATAAAACAGTGCACGCTTTGCTTTTTCGAACACTCCTTAATGACATATGTTGTGGCTCCTCTGCTCCGTGCTGTGAGCCTGGTTGCTGCTGTTACGTAAGCGCAGCTCCCCTCCGCTCATTAAGGGGGAGCTAAATCAGCTGTCAGGTTTCCAATAGGCCGCCTGATCCGCGTCGGGCCTGCCGGGTGCTTCCTGTTTGCCTGCCAGCGGTGTGATCGCCTCAGGCCCAGGTGCCCAGGGACTGCTCCTTTTATTTACCCTGCTCTTCCACTACACCTGTCACAGCAGGAAACATGCCGCTCACTGTGTGGTAATGGGCAGGGACGAGGACGGACCTTATATTTGATTATATTTCAACTATAACACCCTCAGCCTAATGATATTGGAATTAGCAGGGACATATCCACATCCGTACAGGTTTATTAGTGAAATTTCGATGAGGTCTTTCTATAAACTACAATGATTTTTTCGAATATTTGCAATGTAACCATGCACTATTTTGCAGAAGTGATTTTAATGACACAAACATGTTGTTCCTCCTCAGAAAGTGGTTTGTGTTAAAGGTGCACTGCATAACTTTTCTTGAGGAGGATACATCACCTGCTTGTCTTGGAGATTTTATTACTTTGCCTGGAATGATCCATAGTATGGCATTAATCTTAATATATCTTCATAGAGACAACAGTGTAAAGCCGTAACGCCCACCTAGTGTCTCTGCTCAATTTCATTTCTCTTCAGCGACTAGGTCAGGAATCAGAATACACACTAGACACACACACTGCAAGAACCCCGGAGGTTGTAGACCGCGCACCGACCAATCAGCGAAGAGCTGTGAAGCCATGACGTCAAACTCAAGCACCTGTCTGGGTCCCTTTTGTGGTACAACACAACAGTAAACAAAATGGTCGAGATCGATGTAGACGAAGCCAGACATTCTGCGTCGGCAACGATTCATGAGATCAAGGATTTAAAGCCGGAACAAAAAAAAGTTTGGTGAATTTTATCAAGGGGAAAGACGTTATTGCCCTTCTTCCTACGGGATTTGGCGCATTACACACGTCATGGCCAAATAGCAGTGATTGGTTCAATACAAAAAAGTACCCGCCTACTGCTGTGAGGTCAGACGGTTTCCACAAAGTGAAACCAGCTGATGAATCAGGCTAGAGGTGACCACACTTACAGTTATAATACATGTTTCCCAATGTATTTATGTAATAATAAAAACATTGGTAAATGAATAAATATGTTTTGTTCCAAGCAAATCAACATCTCCATAGAGACAAGCAAGTGTAAAAGTAACAGTAGTGCCATATTGCCCCGTTAAACATAACTTTTTCAGGTAAGAACAAATAGCAGACTAAAATGTTTTTCCTCTCACTTCTACTACAACAGGAGTAGTATCACAGAGGAGCTGAGATGGCCCTTACCCTTTACACATCCATGAGATCAGAGGCTGCCTCCATATCCAGGCTGTGAGCTCATATGAGGAGGAAAACAATACGGCGTACAGTTTGATCTGTGCTTGTTCTGCATTTTAATCTGTGCAACAGATGCTGCTCTGGAGTCAGCACAAACCCGGTGAGCGCAGAGGCAGTCTGATGAGTCGACCACAGCTGCACCCACTGCCAATCAGCCGGCGTGTCAAGAGCACCCACCATGTCCAACATCTGGACCATACTGTCTGTGAAATCACCCGCAAACAAGCACTGTTTTACTATAGGCACGAACTACCAGTCGTGGTAACTGCTGGCAAGTCAAGGAAAAGACGGGCATCAGTGCAGTTATAATACTAGTCTTACTCTAATTCACCAGGCTTAAAAAGTTTGCATCTTTGCAATTTATACCACACTTTGATGGTAAGGTAGCCTGCATTATTACTGATTAACAAAAAAAAAACTTAAAAAAAAATAACTACAATCACAAATGAACCTGGGTTTCCATTGCCTATCATTAACTTGTAGTCAGAGCACATATACAAGTTTTTCTTATTGAACAGGCATCGTGTAAAAGTTCAGAACCTCCAGAATTCACTCACTGAGGGCCTGTTTACACGAGAACACTTGCGGGCAAAAACTAGAGCTCAACTGACATGGATTTTTTTGCGACCGATATGATACCGATAAAATGTGAGCTGGAGCTGCTGGCAACATTTACTGTTATTCTGCTTCTTTACAGTCGTATTTAAAAGCGTAAATGTAAATGTGCGCCGCCGTAATTAATTATGCGTAAATGCGGATCATTCACACCTCTATTCACAGCTCAATTACAAAGAAAGAACAAAAAGTAGCTTCAAAAAACGACACATTTGTAACACTCACCACTCACACGGGCTCTTTTCAGATCACAAGTTTTCACAAATAAGTGTCCTTTCAATCCTGCCTCAAAACGATCATCTGTAAAAAGAATATAATCTAACATGTTGACAGCAGTTGTTGATGTGACTCTGGGGTGCGTTCAGGGGCAGCACTGAGTCAGACAAATTACTCCGCAGATAAGTATTGTTGCCACATATATGGACATTTATGTGTCTGTAAATTGGATTAAATGGATATAATATAGAGAGTCTAAGCTTTATAACAAAGTGTAATATGTCCACGTGGACTATCAGCCCATATCAGCAAGATTTATGCCAATAGCCGATATGTCTGCAACTGACCATATCGACCGATAATATCATATAATATCAGTCGAGCTCTAGTAAAAAACTACAAAATATTTTATTGGAATATTCTGACCATCCCTACAAATTACACATAAACAGCAGCCAAGTTTTTGTAACTAT